AGTGTTGTGAGCAGAGGCATCTCCAGGGAAGCTTTATTGAAGTTCAGAATTCAGAATGTGAGTTAGAAGGCCTGGAGGTTCTGCTGTGGCTAGGGAAGGAATATCCCTAGGTTTGCATTTCTGTTGGCACTCACAGGTGATGCTTATAGGGCTCTGGGGCCGATTCCAGGCAGCTCTTCCTAAGCCTTTTCTGCACTCTCTCTCTCTTGGTCTTCTGATGGGGTTACCTACCACTTTGTGTTTGGGGTTCCAGAGTTGCCCCTTTCCTTACTTCTCTCCCCTCATGGTCTTTCTCTTCTGTTCAGTCTCCTAATTTCCTCTTTTCTCCTGTTGTGTTTGCTCTCTTTCTTGTCAGGCAGATTCCTGCGTGTGGGAGTTTCAGTTCCCATTCTGCAGTAAGATGGCTTTTTTGTTCACCTTCCACAGCAAATAGGCATCCCCATCAAAACAAGATCAGTTCCAGGTCCCTCCAGCACAAGTTTCCCTCCCAACCAGAAAAACATTAGCCTGAGACTTTGAGTACAGGTGTTTGATTTCTATTAATCTGTTTTCCCAGTATTTTAGTAGACTGGCTCAGTCACATGACATCTAGATCCTAAGTGTAGATGTCTTCCAGTGTTTCATAGGAACTTTTCCTAAGTCTTTTATGCTTTCTGTCTTTGCTTTTTAGTTTCTCTTTTGATAGCTTTTCCATATAGTACCCTTTGACCCCTGTCTCTGTGTGTGGCGCTCTGGATTGAATCCAGGACTTCATGCAAGCGTCCTACCAACTCAGAGTTCACATCAGCATAAAAACAAAAACAAAAAAACAAAACAAAAAAGGCTTACTAGTAAGATCTTGGAACTCTCAGACCCAAATGGGATGTTTCTATCAAATCCCTTCCCTTTGGTCTCAGGGAGCTAATGTGGAAGAGGATACAGAAGGTTAAGAGCCAGTAGGGATGGAAGACATCAAGGAAACCAGGCCTCCTAGATACAACAGGACAGATGCACATGAAAACGCACAGAGACGGTCCAGCATGCACCAGAGTCTACACAGCTCTAAGCCAGAGGGATCCTAGTGCTGACAGGAAAATAGGTACACGGCCCCACCCTAACCCTGAAGATAGCTCCAGTTGATAACTACTTCCAAGTGAAACATTAATTTTCTCCAAGAGGTCTCACCTGGGAAACCACACTAAGGGCAGACCCCACACCCAGCAGGAGACGACCAACACAAAGTGAACTCAAAGCATTGTTGGAGGTTCTTTGTCTCATGTTGCTTTGGGCATTTTCTTTTTTCATCGTAGGAATCTCTTGCTCATATGGTTTCCTAGTCTGTTTTTATGAGGTGGTCTGTGTGCATGTGTGTGCCTCAGCATCTGTGTGCTTCTTGTGATTTCTCCCTGGCTCTTTTTCTCCTGTTTGTTTTGTCCTATTCTGGTTTGTTTTTATTTTATCTTATTTTATTAATTTTTTTATATGCTTGTTTATATTCTAATGAGAGAGATAGGGTGTGGATTTGGGTGGCCAGGAAAGTTGGGCGGATCTGAGAGAAATTGGGGGAGGGAAACCCATAACTAGCATATACTGGATGAAAGTAGTTTATTTTCAATATGAAAAGGAAAAAATGGCCGGGCAGTGGTGGTGCACGCCTTTAATCCCAGCACTTGGGAGGCAGAGGCAGGGGGATTTCTGAGTTCGAGGCCAGCCTGGTCTACAGAGTGAGTTCTAGGACAGCCAGAACTACACAGAGAAACTCTGTCTCCAAAAAAAAAAAAACCAAAAAAAAAAAAAAAGAAAAGAAAAAATGAAAACCTAAAAGAGGCTCAACAAGCCATGAGGATAAAGCCAGTGGGCAAGCACTCCCTCACAATCTGCCTCCATCCTAGTCCTAGCCTCGGGTTCCTGCCTTTATTTCTCTCAGTGATGGGCTGTGGCAATGATGCACTCCCTCATGGTCTGCCTCCGTCCTAGCCTTGGGTTCCTGCCTTTATTTCTCTCAGTGATGGGTTGTGATAATGATATAGAAGCCCATACATGCCCCTGGCCATCCACACCTTTAAAAACAAAACAAACAAAAAAACCAACCAAGCCCAGAACCTTACTAAGTACATATAATCTAACAACAGTGTTAAATTATAAAACCAGCTCCCACAGATATTTACCACTAATCCCCTGGAACAGGTCCTAAGTAACTGCTGAACTTCCCTAGAGCCATGGTGCCCATCAAGAAGTCATTCCCCGTAGCTGACAGTATAGGCACTTTGCCAACAGGTACTTAAGGAGTTATTTGTTGTGACATCTTTGCCCAAGATGGTAGGCAGCAGGGAGGCTGGTGTGAAGTGGCTGAGAAGTGATCTCACCACATTTTGAGCTGAGCTGTGCTCTGACTGCCCTCTGGTGTTGAGGTTAGGAAACTAACCTAGTGGCTCATCTTTTCAGAGGAAGAGGTAGGTGGTAACTAGCTCTGATTCTGATCCTGCTGCTTCTCTTTCCACTGAGCAATCAATAAAGATCCTTTGATCTCAGTAGACAGTCTTTGTTCTCTGTGGAATAAGCCTGACTTCTCCGCCTGTTTTCATTCTTCAGCAGCACGTCTCTTTCTGCGTGGTAGTTTCTAGTCCTGTCTGCTGAGCCGTCTGCTTCTTTTATCCTTTATTTCCATACTCACACGCTTAAGTCCTGCTCTTTTTTACCCAGGCCTAAAGAGAGCCAAGAATCTCTTCTAAACTAAGATGGCTGTTCTTTGCTTGCTACCCTAGGTAGTGCATGCGCACTTCACCTGGAACATGCTCCCACACAGGTGTGGATTGCCCCTCTTTCTCAGATTGGCTTTCCTCATTTCACTGACGCATCATGCTAGAATTCTGAGAATCGGCATCCTGTGTCTTCTATGCGTGTGTAGACAAACTGTCATCGTTCTCTCTAAGCCACTACTGTTTCCTCCCTGGAATATATGAATTCCCCTTTCTCGTGCATCCTACAGCTCTTCCCGGCTGCATCCGTGTGTGTCCCGTGGATTGGTTTAGTGTCTGGTTTTCTTCCTGTGCTCAGAGTTCAGAGCTAGCAGAGACCCTGTAGCTCCTGTTGTAGCATTTGCTTCTCCACTGAGTCTGTAATGCAGTTCTTGAGACCTGCCTGCTTGAGTATGTGTATGGCCACTGACTGACTAGTAATGCTGGAGTGAACGCAACTTAATTACACTAGGATTCTTGAATGCTTTCCATATGATGCTTTGTATTAGTTACCCTAAATGAATTTTAGATGTTTTTTACTTTTTCCTAGGGAAACTTGCTTGTTTCTGTAAGGCAGTGTATTTAGGGATTGGTTAGCTAGTACTCAACTGAACTAGATAAACAGGTACTTATGTAATATGGACTAATATCTTAAAATTATTTTCAGAAAAAGCTTTGGGTTTGGTCTCCAGCCCAAGGAAAAGAAGGAAAAATAAAAAATAAAGCTAAAAATAAAAACCAACACCCTTTTCTTACATCAGAACTTGTCTGTATAAGATTCAGTGTCTTGGCACCTGTAACAACACACCAGCTATTGGGAAGTTGAGATCTGAAGTCTGCTATGAGTTTGAGGCCAAACTTAGATATGTTATAGCCTGGGCTAAGAGTAAAACCCTGTTATCAAACCATAACAACAAAATAAGCAGACAAGGACTGGAGAGATGGCTCAGAGATTTAGAGCACTGGCTACTTCTCCAGAGGTCCTGAGTTCAATTCCCAGCAACCACATGGTGGCTCATGATCATCTGTAATGAGGTTTAGTGCCCTCTTCTGGTCTGCAGGCACACATGCAGACAGAATACTGTGTACATAATAAATTAAAAAAATCTTAAAAACAGACAAAAGAAAAAAATGATAAATTTAATATGGAAAATATGCTTGATTATAACTTCTTTCAGCATTCTCTTTATAAAAAGAGGTTTGTTTTAATTTTCTTTAATTTTTTTTTCTTTTTTTTATTATAGAGGTTTATATTCTAATTCACTTAGTAAGTTTGATTTACTTGGATGTTTCTTCTGTATAAGGTTTTTCTTCTCTTCTCCCCTGCCTCTGTGTTCCTCCTTTTCAGTGCTACCATCAAACCCAGTGTCAGTGATGCAAAGTGACCCTACAGACTGAGGTGTATCCTCAGCCCTGATTAAATTTAAGGTTTTATTTATTCTATGCTTGCTTACTGCTTTCAATTGATACCACTTAATAATGTTGTTGAACTTACAAAGAAATCACAGTGATTTATAAAGCTGGTGGGATCCGGAACAGTCTGTGCGCTGAGGGCCCAGACTGGAGAGGAAGGATGTAGTAGATAGACAGGAGTGACATCAACAGCATTGAGTTACTGGGATTTCTTTAGTTTGGCCTTGGTGTCTTGGGTATTTCAGGATTTGATGGTATCCTTGGCTATTCTCCATCAGTGCCCCACCTCCTCAGCGGCCATGAAATCAAGCTGATTAGCTCGTAACTTTGGAGATAAAAGTATGTGGGGTGTCTATCTCTTCAGAGGTACCTGAGATGAGGAGTTTTCGGATTATGTTTTGAAACATTTACATAAACTTTATGGAGTGAACATCTCTAGTATGTGGCAGAGTAGGAAACCTGGTGAGGACCATGCTATTGGATACAGGTTTCAGACTTTGGAGTTTTTGGATGAGGCATGTCCATTATATGTCATATTTAGAAGAGAATAGCCGGCTATGAACTGTTTTTCTTGGAAATTGTTGCAATTCCCAGGTGTTTCTGAGAGCAGAAAAGACCATGCCTGTGTTCTTCACATATATATAGTAAAGTAGCTTTGTACTTAATTACCTGGCTGTACCCTAGGCTGTGAAGAGTGGTCCATTCTAAATCATGTTTTGGTAAAAGTTTCACGTTAAGTGACATCAACAGTCAGTTAGAAAAGTTAACCAAGACCACAGAGTAGAGTTAGGTAATCCGGTCCCTTGTCATTTGTATGTATTCCTGGATAGCGAGTACAATTGACTAAACTTTTTTTTTTTTCCTTCAAAGGGACATGAGAGATGGCTTTAGAAGAAAAAGTTTCTACTCTTCCCATTATTCAAGAGATCGGTCTCCCCATAAAAGGGATGCTTCATTCTTCAGAGAGTCACCTGTAGGCCGGAAGGACTCCCCACACAGCAGATCGGGCTCCAGTGTCAGCAGTAGAAGCTACTCTCCAGAGCGAAGCAGAACACACTCCTTCCATCAGTCTCAGCATAGAAGTATGTCTGGTTTTCCTGTTTCGTGTCTCAGAAGTGTTTTCATCTCCACGGAGGAGAGTACCCTGACAAGGCTTTTTTTTTTTTTTTCTCTTCCACAATTTCAAACACTCAGAAACTTGACAGAATAGTATAGTAAGTGATACACAGAGTTCCTCAATTCTTTGTATGCAATTAGAGTCTGCGTGACAAGTCATGTTGAGTTCATCGGTGTGTAAAAGAGGGATCCTTGTCAGCAAGTCTAACAGTCAGTCCAGCCCCATGCTTCCTAGCAGTCCCAAGTAAGAACTTGAAACAGCCTTTGCGTTCTCCTTCACTCGGGGCCACATGTAGCTTCTTAGAGCTGTTGTTGGATTCCTGTGTTCAGCAAATATTTATAAGCCGTCTGTTACTGGCAAAGCAGTAGAGCTTCCCAGAGCACATCTGCTTGCATACAGCTGTGTGGGTGATGGCTGCAGAGGTAAGCACTGAAAGACCAAGAGGAAGACTTCATGGGTAAAAGCACTTTGTGCACAAATTTTGATCCTTAGAACCTATAGAAAAGGGAGATACATAGGGGTTCTACTTCCAGCACTTGTGAGCAAATGGGAAGCTTGCAGATCTGCTGGCCTGTTGTATACAATGATGATCATTAACAGAGACACACAGGGCAGAAAGTCAGGGCCAACACTAAAGGTTGTCCTCTGAACTCCATGTGTGTGCCATGACACATCTGTGTCTGTTCATACATGTAAATGTGCACACACACGTACACAAAGAACAAGGTCTTGTTTCTTAATTTATTTAATATGTATGGATGTGTTGTCTGCTCCTACGTCTGCACCAGACATACTACTTGTAGGTCTGTGACTGCCCGGGGCCCTAGAAGGCCAGAAGGGGGCAATGGATTTCTTAGAATTAGAGTTATAAATGCTTGTGAGCCACAGTGTGTTGGTGGGAATTGAACTAGGGCCTTCTAGAAGAGCAGCCCCCCAAAAAAGATTTTTTTTTTATTATAATTATGTTTATTTAAAAATATATTCTGTCTTGAATTAGGCATGCTTTCAAAGATCAAATCAATCTGTATAGGGGTGCCTTCCCATATCATTAATCTGCATGTTTCTGGCACTGATTATTTTATACTGTTAACAAGTATTTTCTTTTTTTATTAGTAACTTTCTTTTTAAATGTTAATCAAAGGCTTTATAAGTTTGGTAATGCTCAATAACAAGATACCCATACAATCAGAAGTATAACCCAATACCCAACCTAGGTATACCAACTACCTTTGACTGGCAGAGACACACAAAATCCACCTCCATGTTCTCTCTCTCTCTCTCTCTCTCTCTCTCTCTCTCTCTCTCTCTCTCT